TGTATATATATATATATATATATACATATATATATGTATGTATATATATATAATCATATCTGTTTTACTTTTCAAAAGACAAATGAAACGTTTCAAGTCCAAACTGAGAAGATGGTATATCAAATTTTATGTTGTTCAAGTAAGGTAAGCACAATAGCCCGAGAGGGACACAGAATCAACATGTCCTTTATCTCCCCATTTCATACTCTACAGAGTGTTTTTTGCTTGGCATACATTTGAAGGGTCAAAACAAATTTGAATTTGGAGTGTTAAAGGCCCTAGAACTTCAAATGTGAAAGCATTTAAGATTTGTTAGAAATTTAGTAAATGGGCACCAAGAATTTCAGCTGATCATGAGCATCTAAAGAAGGTTAAATGAGTTTGTTTTTTATTTGAGGGCACAAAGTCAAAAAGCAAATCTTAAATCAGAAGATTATGTCTAAAATTTTTAAAATAATGAGTTAGATGAGAGCCATGTTCAGAATGTCTGATCTAGGATTAGCAAACCAGTAACCAATAGGACAAATATAGCCCAGAGTTGTATTTTTGACTCGTACACAAATTTAAAATTTTTATTAAATGTAAAATAAAACTTTACGTTAAAAAAGGGGAATTTTCAGATCTTGTTAAAAAATCAAAATATCCAAGAGGACTGTGCCCATATGGCCATATGTTAAAAATAGGCAAAATTGAGGTTACACAGCTCCAGCAGTCCCTAACATTCACACAATGTATGCATATGTATTTGCACCCAACCAGCTTCACTCTTTTATTTAACATTTCTGGCATCTATAAAAGTCAGAATTTATAGCTATTGTCTAGCAACCAAGATTTTTATCCAAATATTGCTGAGGAGTAGAGAATCTGAAATAGATATGGCAGAGGCAGAAATAAGTTCAAGTGGGCAGGCAGTCTACATCAAAAGAGTATATACTTTAAAAAATGCGTATGTGTGTGTGTATATATATACATACATCCATATGTGTGTGTGTGTGTGTGTGTGTGTGTGTGTTTGTGTGTGTATGTGTGTGTATTAAGGCATGTTGGAACACAGCCTCTGGTAGAAATGGATTTGTGGAGAGAAAAGAAAGTCAATGAGTAATGAAGGTATATGGTGTGTTATTTTGTTTGTTTTTGTTTGTTTTCTGTTTTTCACTGATTTTATGGGTTTTGTTTGTCACTAGGAAACAAATTCTAAACCCCGTTAGCATTAAATATTCAATAACTATTTGCCACCCATTATGTGTTCCCATTGTGCTAGGTAACAGGAAATAATACCCAGATTCTTTCCTTAATCAGCTTATAATAGAATTAATGAAATTCCATTTTAAAAGTATGAAGCCAGGTGCAGTGGCTCACTCACGTAATCCCAACACTTTGAAAGGCCAAGGCACAAAGATTGCTGGAGCCCAGGAGTTCAAAACCAAGACTTCAGGGCAACATATCGAGACTCTATCTCTACAAAAAATATAAACACCAGCCTGGGGTGGTGGTGTGTGCCTTTAGTCCCACCTACTTGGGAGGCCAATGAGGAAGGATTGCTTCAGCCTAGGAGGTAGAGACCACAGTAAGCTATCATTACACCACTGTTCTCCAACCTGGGTGACAGAGTGAGACCCTGTCTCAAAAATAAATAAATTAAAATAAATTAATTAATTTTAACCCATGTATTAATTATTCACCATGAGCAAGTAATGGTTCTAGGTTCTGTTGGGCATTGCAGAGTCTTTTTTCTATTATTATACTTTAAGTTCTGTGGTTCGTGTGCAGACTTGTTACATAGGTATACACATGCCATGGTGCTTTGCTGCATCCATGCCCCCCTGTCACCTACATTAGGTATTTCTCCTAATGTTATCCTTCTCCAATCCCTCCCACCCCCTGCTATCCCTCCCACAACCCCCTACCCCCAAACAGACCCCAATGTGTGATGTTCCACTCCCTGTGTCTATTTGTTCTTATTGTTCAACACCCACTTATGAGTGAGACCATGCGGTGTTTGGTTTTCTGTTCTTGTGTCAGGTTGCTGAGAATGATGGTTTCCAGCTTCATCCATGTCCCTAGAAAGGACATGAACTCA